TTGCCCCTTGTCCTGTCGCTGGGCACTTCTGAAAAGAGCTTGACCCCAAGAGACAGGTTCCTCAACTCTTAAAAAACAGTCTTCTGAGGAGGGTTGCTAAAAAGACTACTGAGAAATAGATTTGTTCACCTCCCTCTCTTCTGAGGTATCTTACTTCCATCAGGGAGGAAAAACCCTCTGAAGCTCACCGTGTCTCTAATCTCTGTGCTGCCAAATTTTCTCTCCTCCCTGCTGAAAGCAAAACATCTGCTCAGCTGCGAGCACCGGCCGGTCCCTTCGCTGGCCGTGCCGACAGCACGGCACGAACCCAGCAGAGGCACACGTAGGAGCTGTGTAATGCACGCACTCCTACGGAGACGTGTATATCCACCGGGGATCAAGGCAAAAACTAAATTAGATGGAGACGGGGGCTTCCAGGGACAGGGCAGGGGAGGAGGAAGAGTGTCATCTGAGTAAGCCCTGGTCCCTGTTAGTCACTTGTGAGGAACAGCAGCAGAATTGGATAACCGGAGGAGGAGCGCTCGTGTTTTGCCAGCTGAACTTGCAGTACCTATCTCTCGCTCTCCTTCTGTTGCTGTAAATCCCTCTCTGGTGTGGCAGTTTTACCCAGAATTAAACACAGCTTGCCTCCGTGCCTGGTGGGCCCAGAGCTGACATGCTAAGGAGCTAAGGCGTGTGTTAAAAATAACTCACTTTGCATGCGTGTGTGGCCACAGTGCTGTGCTTTGGGTGGCTCATTCTTTTACTGCTCTGTAAGCAGACTTTGGCAAGCTTTAACAGCTGCACTCTGCTTCTTGCCCTTGTAAACCGTGTGTATGTGCGAGAGGGCATCCCACACGTGCCCACATCCACACATGCTTCCGTCATGATGCATTTCACCATGTAGACCTTCACTCATGTTTACTTAATTTCAGAGCCTCGTGGTGTAGAACTGAGGGACAAATGAGCTCCTTTAACAGTGACAGCAGCTGGTTTGCTCCTCTTTTCCTGGGTGCCTTGAAACCCCAGGAGGCGCAGAGCAGAAAAGAGCTGCAACTGAAGTGACCATGAGACTTAGGAGCCCAGCTTGGGTAGCTACAGAAACCGAGGTGGGATAAGAAAGAAATGTCAAAGGTTTGCAGGCCTGTGCACCGTGCAGCAGGGGAAATAGATATGTCTGTGCCATTAAGCCTTCTGTACAAGGGAGGTTTCTGTAAAAATAGTGTCTTCTGGAAGTATCATGGCTCTGCACCTAGCATTGAAATGCAGAGAGTTGGAGGCCCATGGAACAGGGTTACTATCAATTCTCTCTTGTCCTCTCCTGCCTTTGAGGCAAGAGAGTCAACAGCCCCTGTTCAGTGCCTGATATCTTCTAAGCTGCAAAAGGCACCTATAAAAAATTCATCCCGTGCCTGGTGGTAAAACTGCAGCAACCTCTGGGCTCTCTGAGCTCTCGGGCTGGCTTTTCCCATTTCCATGTGCTATTAGAGAGAGCGGACGGGGACATCCCAACAGCATGATGTCACACAATGGCTTTGTCTTTCACGGAGCAATTGGCTGTGAAATGTCCCCGTGTTAGGGCCAGGGCCTCCTACACCCAAAGCACACGTGAGTTCTGGGGAGCGAGGCAACCACAAAGAACTGGCTGCAGAGCATGCTTCAGGCTGCCAACTCCTGGAGCAAATCAGAGCGAGAGGGATCCTGAGCCAGCTGATGCTGCTGGCAGAAGCACCCTCCTGTCGGCATAGGAGTTTATCTTCTCCACATGGCTCCTGGTCCTGACATGCACCCAAACACCCTCCTGCCTCTCCATGGGTTGGGTTAGCACCAGAGGCTCTGCAGGGAGTGCTCTGCCAGGCATTTGCAGGCTTTTGGTAATGAACCTTTGGATAACGTTGAACCTTCTTCCTTAGAGACTCTATACCAGAGAATGAAATCACCATTGCCTGTTATCCCTCCTGAGAAAGGGCTGACATTGCAGATATCAACTATGAGGCAAAGGTGGCCCTGCGTTTCCACTGCAGCCAGAAATCTGTGCTCAGGATGTAGACAAAAGTCAAATGGCCAAGCCATCCTGAGAGGACTTCCCTACGATGTTGATAAATGGAGCACTGGGCATACGTCAGGGTTCTTTTGCAAGCATCCTCAGCACGTAATGCCAAAGTTACTCAGCTTTGTAGTGCTCTGGTATCAAGGCAGCAGATGTGTGTGTGTGTGAGACTAGTGTGGCTGGTGCTGTCAGGTGTCCAGATGCGTGACTGCAATTCAGCTCCACAAGCTCCTGTCAGAAGTAGCAATTCCCTTGCTCTTCCATTTGCATTTCAGGTTTTGTTTCAGAAGGTTAGGGAACCTGTCCTCTCTTCAAAGAAAATGTTGGAAATTGCTCACCGTGCTCTTGAGGGCTCTGCCCATCTTCCCAGGCTTCCTCGTGGGTTCAGGATTTATGCAACTGTTAGCGAGCACCGAACCCTGCTCATCAGTCATAAGCAAAAAATGTTCTCTTGTATTTAGTGTTTATAACATCTGCAAATTACCCTGAATTCTAGGATATTCCTTCCCTGGCATGCCTGCTGTGTCTGCAGGGATACAGACAATACCCCAGACTGCCTTCTCCTGGATGAGCAAGCCAGTGCAGCGACCTCTCTTTCTTCCTGCGTGGAAGCAGCTGTGTAGGGCATGCATGGGCTCTGGGCTGAAGGACCTTTCGTAGTCCTCAGCAGAGCTACAGGTGCTCCCTTGTCAAGCAACAGGTAGATTAGGGTGTCTGGTGGCTTTGCGTGTAAGGGGGACCTTTGTTTGGAAGGGCAAGCACAGTTTTGTGTGTTGAGGTTTCAGAAAAGTAGGAATACTTAGCGAGCTGGTACTTTGCCAAGCCAGCTATGAGGTGCCGGTGAGGGTGTTTGCCGTAAGGACGTCTTGCAAAGGTCCCATGACCTCCTTGAGATCCTGTCTGGTTCCTACAGGCAGATTTACTTGGGTGTGATTCTGCAGCCTCCCCACGTGCACATGGTGCACACAGACATGGTGGTGCAAAGCCCCCACCCCAGCACAGCTCCTTCTGTCCGCAGTAGGCTCCTACACGGACACGCAGCGTCCAGTGAAGATGACAACGCCAGCTCCTAACCACATTAGAATGGTTATCTGTCCTTCCTCCCACCTTTGTGAAGGAGGTAAGGGAGATATTTTAAAAAGTAGTACTGGTTAACGGTTTTCAAGGCTGTCAGTTCAATTGCTTGGTTTGCTCTGCTGCTTTGTTTGTGTGGACTGCTTTTTGAAAAAACCGGCTACCTCAAAACTAGAAGCAAAACATCCACTGCAGAGGCAAGCTGGGTCTTACCCAGTTGCACAGCAAAGAAGGAGAACATGTTTGGCTCTCAGATCGCAATTGTTAGCAGGCGCAAGACTCTCATCTTTGGTACCTCTATAGGGCCTTCTCTCCAGGCCAGCTTTCCTTTGATGGCTTCTATTTGAAGTGTCCAGTGCTTTATCTTCTAGTGTTTTCTATTGATTTTGCTCTCCTCTTCTAGCCCTTTTTTCTTCTGTAGGTCTTTCTTTTCTGTTGCATCCCTCACTGATCTGAAGGGGTGTCATGAGTTACGGCACCTCTGGCCGAAAGGGCAAAGTGGGCTGTTTATGTGGACTGAACGTCTGCAAAAAGGAAATTCATGTGTACTGAATAATCTCTCGGGTGAAGCACAGTAACCTCAGATTTCTTAGAAACACGAATGTCATGGCAGCTCATAATCTTCAGATTCAGAGCTGGAGTTGTGCTTTCCCAGAATGTAGTAGTATTCAGATCTGGAATTATCTCTACATCAGCTGTGTAAAAATAAGCAAGCAGGAAAATCAACGCCTTTGTGAGTTTAATTTTGAAGTTCTTAAATAGTAGGAATGAAAAATATAGAAGTCTGTCACTCTGTCTACCATCGTTCCTTTTCACTACCCTATTTTTGAATGAGAGAGCCTGACTTCCAGCCTAAAATATGAAACGAAGAATAGATTTGAGAATGAGATAAGGAACTTAGCCTTCTCAGAAGTGTCTTTCCTGTCTACACTGCTGGTTGGCTTCCAGATATAGTTTGGCTCTACCTCAGGCTCAAAGGGTGGATCTTCACACAACTTTGAATCCTGGCAGTGTACGTGTTTACATGTAGCCTATCAGTCTAGATGCTTTTTATAGTTGGCAGAGTAAAGCAGGCTTCTCTGGGGTGTGATTTGTCTTACTGTGAGATGGACTATCATGTGTGGTGCTTTGGAGGTGTGTCATTTGGGACCCATTGCCAGCAGAGGAAGTTTGGCTATCCAGCCCAGATGTGCTCATCTGTACTCAGAGTGTCCAGATTTGGTTCCTACTCGGTCCATGAGGAGCAGACACTCAGGACGAACTGAACTTGGCTATCCGCTGGTGGACTGACTTGTATTTCCTCCATCTCTGTCGACTTGTGTGAAAAAGCACTTGGTCCCTGCTTGTCAGCACAGTAGTGCAGTGACAAGAATGAGGTTCTGCTCTGCTAAAGAGCCCCAGAGATGATACCTGTGCCCCGGTGGGCACTTGCATGCTCGCGACCAGGGCGGTGAGCGCATCCGAAGTGGGGAAGGGGCTCTTACCTAAACTTGCCAACGGTGTAGCTGACACCAATGCATGGAGCAAGCTGGAGCGGAGCTTGCTGCGCTAGGATAAACAGTGGTGAGCCAGGAAAGCCTGGGACAGCCCCCGCTCATGCTGCCAGGACTACGCTCCTGGCAGTGCCCAAGCGAGTGGGACTGAAGCTTGCTGGAGCGAGGTGGGTGGGGGTGTCTGCACAGGCTGCCTGCTGGGAGGTGTTGCGTGTGTTCGTGTGGCTGTACTGCCAAGTGACCAGGCACTGTGTGAAGCAACGAGGGAGGTAGGTGGTTTCCACCCACTAAAACTTGCCACCGCCATTCAAAATAGACAAAGGGATGGAGGACTGCCAGGAAGCAAAGAGACTGCCAAAACAAGGTGAACCTCTTCATGGAATTGCCTCCTCCTCTCTCTCCAGGTCGCTATCCACAGCAAAACAAAGGCACCTACATCCCGATCCTCGTAGGTGATGTGCTGAAACCTGGCGAGTGGGGAGCCAAGATTACCCAGAAGGAGAACAACTCCATTCGCCTGTCCATCATGTCCTCTGCCACCTGCATCGTTGGGAAGTTTCGCCTGTACGTTGCCGTCTGGACTCCCTTTGGCATCCTCCGGACGCCCAGGAACCCGGCAGCCGACACCTACATCCTGTTCAATCCCTGGTGCCAGCGTAAGTACCCGGTCAGAGTCCACGGTTCACGCTTACTGCTGTTGGGCTCGCCAGGTTTTGGGAGAGGGTGGTCTGGGGAGGGGAGCCTGGTACCAAGGAGGCTGGAGACAAGCTAGTTTGGGTCTGGAAATTATGTAGTAACTCTGCTAAGAGACAAGTCTTGCGGGCTGGGGAATAGCCCTGTGTGAGCGGGGCTCTGCGCTGCAGACCTGTGCCTGCCCTGTAGCTGTTTTATGAGCCCAAGCCTGTTTCCCAACTTGGGCAGCGCGATGATGCTCTGTTTCTCATGGCAAGAACACCCCCAGGCTGTGCTCTGACTTTAACAGACATCGTCAGGAGCCTCCCTCCTGCCAATACAGGCACATTTTTTTCCGGGATTTGGTGTGGGGCGGGATGTGGCAGCGTCCCATGCCCTACTGAGTTATGCTGCTTATTGACACAGTTAAGATTGAACATCTGCAGGCAAAAGCCTGTAGGAACTCAATGGGAGCTGCTGCTCCTGCACGGGCTGGGTGGAGTTAACCTGCTGTGGCCTCAGTGGGGGTGCCTTCCCACCGCTGCACAGTCGCCCCTATAACATCCCCTTTAGTGGTGACTATTTACCAGCAACACTGTCCTCTGTGAGGAGCAGAACATTCTGCAGATGAGCCTTTTTGTAATCCAGTGGGCTGAAGAACAGTTTTTGTTGTTTTACATCTCCTTAGATCCCAGGTAAAACCAGCCCTTGTGCTGACAGAATTGTATTTTACCCTATGAGCTCTATGCGTGGCTTTAAGGAGAGGGCGAGGCGGAGCGGAGAGGTTTGGCTCAGCCTTCTGACAGGCTGTGACACTGTGTCTCAACTTCTGACACTAGTAAGGCTCCAAGTCATATATTGCTATATATTTAGGTCATCAGCTAACTCCAATATTCTCCTGTCACCCTCCTTAATCTTTCAATTTTTTTACAACTCTTTGCACCAAATAATCCCTTACGAAACAAGGGCCGTCGTACCGAGTGACGAGTAAGTTTAGCATTATTAATAGAGTCCATTATTCAGCTGCACTACTGTCAGAACATCGAATAATTTGTGCTGAATTCATTACTTGCCCCTGATCCAAGGGAATATAAGCAATCATTAGCTTATGCATTATTTAGGAAGATATATGTTAATGCTGAGCAAAGCGGAGTTAGTTAAGCGGGAACAGGAGGGAAAGGCAGGGCCCAAGGCCCCACTGTTGGCACCATTAGATGCTTCTGATAGTCTAGGAGAGGACAGGGAGTGTGTAACGGAAAGAGAGGACTCATTGCCAAACGTGTGACCCACTGGTGAGCAGACAAGACTGCCCCAGGTTTGTGAAGGCATCGTCAGCCTGTCACAGCTCCAGCTAGGGAAGAAGCGTGGTTCTCCACCCCGGGAAGCGTGGTTCTCCACCCGGGGAAGCGTGGTTCTCCACCCAGGGAAGCGTGGTTCTCCAACCCAGGAAGCGTGGATCTC